CACTATTTCATCGGGTGATGAGAAGTGTCCACAGTTGAGATGAAAGATGGACCAAGATAAGCCTGGGCTTCGCCATGTTAAAGCCAATCAGAGCCGTTGCTTGGTATCTATCATCCCCTACGCCACCCTTACTTATACACCAGGAATATAAAAAAATGCATAATATGCATTGTTTAAGCAAGAAACGCTGTTTAAAATGGTTAAATAGTCAGCCTTTGATTTGAAAGGCCATAGACTTTGAAATCCGTCTACTTCTCTTTATTACACCGTTGTAATAGTATGAGGGTGACAGATTTCAACGGACAATTGTTTACGTATTGCTTTTGCGCCACCTTTAGGCATCTTTATGTCAATAAAAATTGTTACTTAGTACTTGAACTTTCGTTGTTATTGACTGGCTACACGCACATATTGTTGTGATCGGGCTTAAATAGTAAGCCACCGTACATATTGTTGTACCATACAGGTAATATCGTTACCAATAAATACTCGGCATTGGTCGAACCCTATTACTAATAAAACTACCGTGTTTTATTTTCTATTTCATTTTTGCTCACGAGTGCTTATTGGACGCACTGACTCTATTGGGAGAACCACAACTGCACTATACCTGCCATCCACCCAAGCCCCTATAGTGCGGACTTAACAGGCGTAATAAATAATGTGAAGAATATACCGGTGCTATTGATGATCCTCGAAATATTGTTTCCCGTTCTAAAATTTCCGTGGATATGCAATTCCCGTACAATAAAATCACACATATGTTAGAAATCAAGAAATATTACATGTTACGGTTTTAATTAAATGTTTTCTCAATTTATTTATAAGTCTTTCTGATAACGGTAGCCTAATATTAACCCTTTCAGTGTTTTTGTCGAATATATTCGACATTTAAAATTACTCTCTTCCTTTGCAATTTTTCGGTTATCCTAAGTACCGTTACAATTGATGTCTTTGTTTTTGTTGAAAGACAGACAAAACTGTCCGAGGGTTAAATTAAGAATTACTTTTTTTCTAAACTCTGTGCCTTCATATGATTTTAAGTACAAAATTTTAGATTTTTATTCCGACAAAAATTTTTTTTTAACACTGAAAGGGTTAATTAAGGTTTTTATTAGATGCCCTCAGCATATCGGTAGTTGACATGTTGACGTGTTTGTAATTAAAATAATAAAATTCGGTTGTCTGTTTAAATCACGATAGAGCTCGAAATTAAAATTACACCTAGGATGTTTGGTATAAAAATGGGATATATCGGTAAATCAGCAATATAAAAATTGCATAATAGGCAAAATATCTAATCTGAAGGAAGGAACATCAGAAAACATTCTTAATCGAATTCGTGTTCATTCACGTAATTCATATTCTAAGATCCATGCCCTAGATTATTTTGCTTGAATTAATAATAATAGGTCCATAGGAACATACCTCCCAACAAATGTCATAATTTTGTTGAAAAACAAATTTACAGCTTAGCACATCCTTATATTTTTACCAAAACTATATCATGATTGAAGTTGTGGATTATTAGTCCGCTACTTCTGGTATATCCCCCACAAAGGGTCAACATTTCATAGGTAATATTTTTACCAAAATTTAAATTGAGTACAAAGAAAAGAGTATCGAATTAATTTAAATGAACTGTTTATTTAAAAAAATCATATCAAAACTGTTTTACAAACATATTTTCTGCAAACATTTATATTACATATTAGACATCTGCGTGAATGCACAAAAACACCACCCATGAGTCACTCATACAAACTAATGGATTTTATTCTATAAATTAGTTCGAAATGAAGTGCAATGAGTGAGTGTACAACAAACATGAATTGCGTCAAGTAAGAGAGTTTTGAATTCATTGTACCCGTTTGATTCATACAACCCACGATTCAGACTCGATGGACACGGTATTCATTGTGTATGTTGACTTCGGTATGAACGTATGTTGAAACACACAAAGTTTGAACAACTACGACGAGTTTGTCTACGAACATGTTTTATACAATGAAGTGTGTAAAGCGCATTCGAGTTCTACAATAGTTTTCGAATTACCCGAATATATATTATTGTTAGGTTCTTGGATTTTACTTAATCCCGTGTAGACGTTGTTTTATTTCCCAATACAGTTCGTACTAAATAAAACGAGGGTTCTTTCTGATTACGATTATTACAATGATTTTATTGACACAACTTTGCACGTTACTTTACAGCTTTACGTTACTTGACTGTTTCAATTCGCGATCTGATTCATAACTGACTAACTGCCTTGCCATTTCCCCTATTTACAAACACATACAAACTTACATTGAGTGAACAATAACAACAACACATATACAGGCGAGGGAGTAACAAAGAAAGAGGAATTAAGCGATCATCAATGATGACGTTTAACAAGAATTGTACGTCAACAACAAAATAGACAATGAAAGAGGCTCCACAATCTCCATTCATTGGTACCCATATTATTGCTTCGGCACAGGGCGGTATTATCTCTGGATGGTCCGTAGTCAGACGTCTAATGGGTGTACTTTCATCGTAGCCCACGTTTAACGGAATTTCGACGTTAGACCAGGTCATCACACGCTCTTTCATATCCAGATTGATACCAAAGGCAATCATAAAATCTGCGCCTATTATCACTTCGTCTACGATATCGGCAACTATAACCTCGTAATTCTCCGATTTGTTGGCAATAGTTAGTCTCAGGGTAATCTTGCCGTGTACTGCCGCGGGCTCCCCCGTTGCTGTGCGCAGTCTGACTCCATTAAGTTGCGTTATTTTTCCCTTTACCAGATCTGATCTTATGATGGAGTTTGATGCGCCAGTATCTAACGTCAGAACTCGCTTATCACCGTTGATGTACCCAATTGTTGTTAGGTTGTGACTTTTCTGTTGTACTATTGCTATGGAGATTGTGGGGCCATCGTCGATGGGAGCCAGTTCATGCCCCGCTGGACTGGCTCGATTTAGTTTAACGGTGACTCATTGGTGGACTGTTGAGCCATTCTTCTACCATCATTCGTTGGAGGTGGTGACGATGACCTGGATCGTTTGCGCTTAGCTCTGCATTCGCGCGCAATATGACCTGCCTTATCGCAGTTGTAGCATCTCATCGTGGGCTTAATCATCCCTACTAACTTTGTTTCTTCTATTACCCGCCTCATGGCGTCCTCGATCGAGTTAACGAGAGATTTGGGTTCGCAACATTCGGTCTCCAGTTGGCGAATCTTGTGGGTCTGGGGCTTAACAATTATTCTTGCCGTCTCTTGGGCAAGGGCAAACGACACGGTTTCGACAAATGACGCTTTTGGTGACGCATATGTTGCACATTTAATCTCAGGGTCACGTATGCCATTCACAAAGGTTTCGATTTTCATACGGTCCAGCAATGGGTGATTCTCTCCTGGATACGTCATTAGCACCAAACGTTCCACCTCAGCTGCAAAGTCTTGTAACGTCTCGTTTGCCCTCTGTACTCTTCCCCTTAATTCCATAAGGTAGATGTTTCGTTTATGTTCGCCACCGTACTTACGTTCCAGTGCAGCCATAGCATCTTCATAGTTGTTTCTAGAAGCGACAGGAATACTCTGCATAACATCAGCAGCACTGCCCTTCAATGCCAGAAGTAGTGCAACCGCTTTGTAGCTGTCGTTCCACGAATTTCTAGAAGCCACTGTCTCGAACTGTAACTTGAAAACATTGAATGACGTAGAGCCGTCGAATACAGGAGGTTTGATTTTTAGTGTGTTATCAGGATCTCGCACCGGACCACCCTTAATTTCCAGTTCCGACATTTTCTTCTCCAGATTCGTAACCCTGTGGTCGTGGAATCAGAAATTTCTCATCCACAGACAGAATCTTCTCGTCAACCGACTGCACTTTCTTATCGTCTCGAGTTTTCTTCTAACTTTCTGGAATTCTCTTCGAACATTCGTCTCGTGTTTTCTTCTAACTTTCTGGAATTCTCTTCGAACATTCGTCTCGTGTTTTCTTTTAACTTTCTGGAATTCTCTTCGCTCCTTCTGAAATTTTCCTCAAACATTTTAGCCAGCATTTCTCTGAAATCGTCACCCCTGGGAGCTACTGACGAAACTTCCCCACCGTTGGATTCGCCCATTTCCGATAAATCCACTTCATCCTTACTGTCAACCTCATACGTAACGATGTTCATACCACGGCACTCGAACTCATCCAACAGACGTTTTTGTAGTTCAGCCTTGTTGCCAGTAAAGGACAATTCCAATTTATTGAGCTCCTTCTTCAAGTCTTCCACTCGTAGATCCTTAAACTTCATCGTAGTATTATCGCAATCTCACTTCCGACACCAATTGCTACGTTCTTGGATTTTACTTAATCCCGTGTAGACGTTGTTTTATTTCCCAATACAGTTCGTACCAAATAAAACGCGGGTTCTTTCTGATTACGATTATTACAATGATTTTATTGACACAACTTTACTTTGCACGTTACTTTACAGCTTTACGTTACTTGACTGTTTCAATTCGCTATCTGATTCACAACTGACTAACTGCCTTGACATTTCCCCTATTTATATGAGCCATGCCTGTCGCTACAGAAGTTTCTAGACGATCTGGTAACACCTAGATTACGAACAATCTACCAATGCAACAAACACATACAAACTCACATTGAGTGAACATTAACAACACATATACAGGCGAGGGAGTAACAACCCTGCAGTTTGTGTAACTAACGAATAACAAACGAAATGATTAGTTACGCAGAATTACCATGCATTACTCGCCAAACTACCACCAATGCGTTTGACTAACGAATTTAACATGGGGATGACATTGCCGGTAGTCAATTTCTACCTTCTGCATTACCTTTCACTACTTACCTAGTCTAATGCTATTTCCCTAATGAAAATACTTTTTTATTTATTTTTTTGCATAGAAATTTATTTAAAACTATAAAACTTATTATGGAAAAAATAAAGGCTTTTGGAGACGGATTTTTCTTTTTTTCACCCTTACTTGGATTCTTGGAACTTCTTAGCTGCTCTTCAGAGGGTCTTTTGTATTTCAGGCCTGGATTCTGAAAAGATATAAAGTAAAAAAATGGGAATCAAAAGAAATTACAATATTTTAAAATATTACCTATTAGTGTTATATTTATATATTTTCCAGTCCTTCGAAACTATTTTACCCTGAAACCCATCAATATTGTAGGCCATGACCAAATGTTTGCAGTATGGAGTTGAAAAATGCTACCTAAAAACAATTCTATTAAATATTAAAATTATATTATTAATGGAATACTTAATACTTACATAAACATGTTTCATTTGAGGGCTTTAGTGGTTTTAATCGCTAAATAAAATGCGACGCACTTACCTCCACGAATTTAAATTGAGACTATCGCCAACGAAAAAATAAAATACTCAAAATTAAGTCAAAAATAATTTTTTCCTTCTGCATTTTCTTTGGAATAACGGTGAAACCTGTTTTGCACTTGAAAACAATGTTGCTTTTGTAGAAATGATCCTTCTCATTAATGATTTCGCCAGTCAGAATGTGTATCGTTAAAGAGTCGATATGCGAACTCCTGCATAACTAGTGGCGTCAGGAGTAACCAGTCCATTTTTCGTTAGCGTAATACATAACGATTTTGAAACAATTTCTACTTTTAAAACTTTCTTTAAAGAAAGATGAATAAAGCGATCATCAATGATGACGTTTAACAAGAATTGTACGTCAACAACAAAATAGACAATGAAAGAGGAAATAGAAGGATGTATAAAAATCTATACAGTAGTTGTTGTTGTGAAGTTATTCGAATAAACTGCGTAGTAGAAATTTACGTTACAATTCAAATTCTTAAATTAACGGAATTCATCTAAATTAACTTAAATCTAAAGTTATATTCGTAACATTATGGTTTTTCTACACTTTACAATAGTATAGTACAATAACGATTGTTACACGTCAAAATCGAGTAATTTATTCAATTAAAACAATCTTTAAAATGAAATTCAAAATTCGTAATAATCTATGGATAAGATAATTGTCTCATTGTAAGATTTTAGTCATTTTTACGGTTATAATTACTATGTTTTGGTTTCTGCACCTGTTTCGATTTTTATAGATCAAATTTTATTATAATAACATGTGACTGATTTCAATTTTGACACACTGCCAGACAAATGTAAATTATTATAAGTTTATTTTATGCAACTATATCCGTGGTGATACTTCAGCGCGGAGGGAGGTTGCAAAAAAACATCAGTTCGTAGAGTAACTTCGGGTAATGTGGACTATGCGTCTAATGTGGACCACCCCCACATCTAGGAAAATGCGTAAAATATGTCAATGCCACCTTGATAAATGTTTTCCTAATTGGTGAAAACAAACATCAAACTTGGTTTTAAACAAATAATTGCAATGTTGAAATTTTAGTTTAGCTTTGATTGTAAAAGTGAGATTTGAACATGTTTTAGCACAATAGCCTAATGTTTTTGCACAATAGTCGAACCCTTAGTTTTGCCGAATATATATAGAAGTTTTGTTGTTTTCTTGTTTACTTTAACAAAAATATTCATTTTTGAAGCCTATAGTTATCTATACTAATAAAAGAGTAAACTGATTGACTGACTGATTTAACGATTCATCGACGCACAGACGAAACGGCTGAAGCTACAATCTTGAAATTTTGGGTGATGGTCACTCTTGGTCCAAATGTGACAGATAAGGCTGGGTTTTTGGAAATTCATATTATAACTGTACGAAAAGTACTAAAAGGTACTAATCTATACTAATAAAAGAGTAAAGTGAATGATTGATCTTTGTTTTCAGAATCACAAAAAACATTACCTCTTTCTCTGTTAGAAGCTTTGAAACAATGATCTTCGTCATCGACGTTGGTCGATATCACATATATCACATTAATTTTTTATTAATTTTTTTATACCACATTCGAATCTTCGAAATTAAGGGTTCTGCTGGAAAGATTATGGAACGTTTTTATATATTTGACCGTTTAACTAAAAACTAAGCTATATTTTTTTAAAAACAAAAATATTAAAGTCTAAAAGATAAATAAAAATCGAATTTGAAATGAGCCAAATTGGCTCATGCCGTAAATCTAGTGTTAAAATCTAGTGTTAAATTTTCTAATGTAATTTCGCACTTTTACGTTGGTCCATATCACATATATCACATTAATTTTTTATTAATTTTTTTATTGAAATTAAGGGTTCTGCTGGAAAGATGATGGAACGTTTTTATATATTTTAAAAACGCTATATAAAAACAAACACAAGAAAACATGCCGTAAATCATCTTTGTAATTTCGCACTTTTAGAGGTGTTACATGACTTCCAAAGTCCCGATCCAGACTTTTAGCCAGTTGTACGCCACTCACAAAGGGATACTGGGGAAGGTATAGCATTGGGGTACATTAGGCTATGACGTTTTCGATATGAACATCACTAGCTTTATTCAGTGGTACCGAATGTCAACATATATAACTGTCTAAAATTTTAAATCTCTAGCTAATAAACTTATTTTGATACACGGGTTTTACATATGGGAAATTACAAAAATCTTTTAAATTCCTTGAAACTGAGGTTTGCAAGCTTATAACTCGCGAAATTTGAACATATTGCATATAATTTAAATTCATTTCTATAAAATGAGGTGTTCTTGTCATAATCTTAAAACATTGGTAATAAATAATAAGTTGGGTGGAAGCTGTGATGGTGGTAATGTAAAAAATGGGTGAAAATGTGTTGAAGCCAACGAGTTTTTTTGTGTTCCTCCCTGATTTGTGGCTAAACTACATAACGCACGCACATGTGATCAGTGACTAAGTTGCAGAATACCCCATGGACGATATCGTTCTAATGTATGATTTTTTAATATAATCACTGCATCCACCCAAAACGGATGCTGACATTTTGAAGCCGGATTTTCGGTGTTTTTATAAAAACCATTTTTTAGTCTAAATCAAACGCCGTTGAATCCCGCTTGATTTTAGTTTTTTTTTTTACGTGCCGAATCTAATGAGACCAGCCAATAAAACGGCGCCCAATAAAACGGCGGATATAGGTCCGCCCAATAAAACGGCGGATATAGGTACCTCGAATGTAGGAAAAACTGCAAAAACTTATTTTACCTACATTCATGTTTATATTATTATATTCGCGAATCTGTGTGAAAATAGGACAAAAATACATCGATACGCGAATAATATGTCTTTTTTATCCAAAATTGATTGTGGTGGCACATCCACGGTTCTTAACCAATTCTTTTAAAATAGATGTGCTTTTGTGTATTTTTATTGGAGGTTACTGAAATCTGATGCGCATAAAAATCTTAGGCACGTTGCGTCATTTTTAGGGTTTTTGAATAGTAAAGTGCATCGAGCGGCACACTTTGACCGCTAAATGAAACATCGAAAAATTCATAATTATTGGAAGAGATTGATTCGGTTTATACGAAAACCGCATGCGCATCAACTGATTTTAACGAATACGCGAACTGTGTGCTTTTCAATATTGTTCATTTGTATGTCTTCAGATATCTTCATGCTTCTATTTGTTTTTCGCCACTATTATACCGTACTTCAATGTGATTTGGCAACAATGCAAAGAAAACAAATGTGTTTAACCATTTGTGAAGAAATTCGCGAATTACAACAAATAGGAATTAACTTATATTTGAAATACAAGATTTAAAACCGCTATAACTTTTGTGCGCAGCATCTGAATTTGTGAACGCGAACAGATTTCGAGTCAGCATATTTTTCTTAACCTATGTACGAAAAATCATAAATGTGCTCGCAAAAATTTTTTTCAAATTTTTTTAATGGGATTTTTAAAGAATTTTTTAATTTCCCATATGTTTTTGTAATATTTCCATTCCAAAAGCGGTATTATTAAAAAGTCATTAATTAGCATGCCTTTCCTTACCTTTGATTTGATTATGATATTCGACATTTAAAGTGGGGTACAATCGGTCATATTCAGAAGGTGTTACATATTACGCATATTATACCAAATATATAATGACCAAATGTGACGGAAAACCGCTATTACGCATATTATACAAAATATATAATGACCAAATGTTACGGAAAACCCCTATTTCTGACGGTGTGTGTGGCCTTAAGAAGTCAACGTCCGCCGTTACAAAATATTGTCAGAAACGTCAAACATTGAGTCGCATATTTAAACAAATAGAAACTTTAAGAGGATTTGAATTCCAACTGATAGCAATGATAATTAAGAGGCTATGTCTATGGGCAAAAAAAATAATGGGTCGATTACGGATGGCGACCATAGTTTAGTTGCGTTGCCAGTTGCCAAATTTGTATTATGGATGGCAAATGTTGTCAACTTTAGTTGCTTCAAATAGAATTTTTCGGCAACCATTTATTTCTGGTTGCTGTTTATAATAACTGAACTTTGTAGGCTTCCCATAATGGCTAATATTACTACAAAAGAAAAATTTGAGGTCCGTTTTGCCCGGATGGAAGCTCATCCAAATGTAGCACGCGGCGTGCGGACTTTTGGTCAAACCAAAGCCACTATTGATGATATGTGGAAGGCCATTTCAGAAGATCTTAACTGCTATGGCCCACCAACATTCCAAATGAATGGCAGAAAGTGGCGAACATATTCATTTGGGTCCATGATATGTAGGTGTGTATCATCAATACATCCGACAACACCCTGGAACTTTGTTTTCGAATAAAAAATTTTATTCTTCCCTTTTTCCTCCTCCGTTAATTTGTATACAAAATTACATAAATTTTACACAGTTTTTCCTCTATTAGCCGGGTAACTTCGGCGAAAACCACCGACATTGTCGTTTGAGCCATGTCAAGGTTGAAGTCTATGGGAGCTGCACACATTTTTAAAAGAGGAGGAATTGATGTTGACCGCCAGGTTTTCGGAAATCAGGGTTTAAGGATTTATCTTTGTACACAAAGGCATCTTTGGTAGTCGAAAATACGCTTTCAAGCTAATATGAGCAGTTGCTTGAACATTTCTCTAAACGTCAGCATCTACTCACAGAACTGATGGTAGTTCTAAT